GGGCTCCCTAGATCTGCAGCTACAATAACCATTCTCTCCTGCCCTGCCCTGCTGTGCTAGTCTCTAGTTCTGCAGCTGCAATACTGATCTTCTGCCTTAATATACAAGGCCCTCTAACTCTGCAGTTACCAATCTTCTGCCTTGGGCTGCATGAAGCTTATAGGCTGCTCTTCCCCGGACTCACCACCATGGAGGTGCCGATGAGCACGATGAACATCCGAATATCAGCCCTGGGGTCCTGCGGAAGCTCCTCCACTGCCTGAAGTCAGAGACTTAGGTGCCGCTTTCCCAGGGAGGTCCGGCGCATGAACTGCCAGTGCATCCGCATGAAAGTCACACACACCAATACATTGCACAGCATATTGACCAGGAAGAGGAAGGAGCTGCAGCTGGCATATATGTTGGAGTAGGCTGCATAGGTGGACACGTTGGTCCCCCAGTCAAAGAAGCACCAGGTCCAGGAGTACTGGCAGTAATTTATGAATAATTTATAACATATTTTTTTTTCTCTTACCTAACTGGTTTGGGGGCAGCATTTTTTGGCGCTCCCCTGGAAAGTGCCGCCCTAGGGAAATGCCTAGTTTGCCTTGCAGTAGATACACATCTGCGCACAGGCCACCTGAGACCCTGGAGACATAAGGAAGCCACCCCGGAACACTTGATATTTATTTTGTATTGCTGCATAATGTATTGCTGGAACTTTACTTACTGGTGTTCGGCCCCTAAGAGAATAGGGGCGAACGGCAGCGAGTGCGCTGCCGAAGCTTCAGCTCAGCCGATTTAGATGTTGGATTGGCAGACTCGAAGTCCCTCTGCACTTCGGCTCAGCCGAACATACAACCTTCGGCAGCTAAGTGAATAACCCCCTTAGTTGAGCAATGAAAAACTTTGCACATAATCTATTAGGGACCCCTGAAATAAATTATGAATCACAAATGATAATATCATAATACAACCAGGTTCCTGGGCAATAATAACTGGCACTGAAGATAAAACAAGAAGAGGTCACTGGGGGATTTTTGCAGACAGTTGCTACAATTTACAGTCTGGATCAGTATTGTTGAAAAGCAACAGCTAAAATTAAAAATATGTCTAGTCCCAACCGCAAAGCTTGTCATTATACAAGTCAGCAAAGTCTACTTTCCCTGTGCAAGTATCCCAATGGCTGCTCAATCATTAAAATTGCAAGTTAGGTAAATTTATTTAACTTGACCAATGATTGTTAAGTTTTTATAGAATCCAAATTATACTGAGATCAGACAATGTCTAGCTAAGAAAAAGGGTATTGCTTGTTCCAACCATCATTACACTTAAAGTGACACTAAACTCAGCAGTTAAACCTTAAAATACACAAATAAGATACATTTTTGTTATTGGTTATGGTACTTGAATGTATCACTCAGCTGTAGATCCTCAAATCATCTCTGAATTGGTTCTGACAGTGTCCTTCCTTCTGGAGGGTGGCTACTTTTGTGCCCATGGTTCCTGTGTGTCTTGTAAAGTAGCCACCACTCCAAGCTCACTCCTGTGATGGAGTATAATTTCAATGCAAATTAGTAAACTAAACATGAGATTGTAGTCCATCACAGGAGTGAGCTTGGAGTCACACATTAAAAATGTTTCTGTTCTTTAAATTATTTTTCAAGTCCCCACACATTCATACACGCATGCAACATACATGCGAAAGCAACTATTGCGCCCATTACGCCGCACATGTTACATATCGCCACGAACGTCGCAGTAAGAGCAATCATTCTAGGGCCATCAATCACTGATAACACTAAACTGATGAGCGGTAAAAGCTTTTAAAGCATTGCCTATGGCCAATTTTGGGTATGGTAGTAGCGCGCAATTTTAAAGCTTGACATGTTTAGTGTCTATTTACCTGACGTAACCCCGCCTTTAATATTTTACCCCAAAAAATGGGTAATAATAATTGTAACATAATGTAAAAAAAATAACTTTTTTTTTAATTTTCAGTAGTTTTTCCTTAACCTCCCAGGCGCTATGATTATTATTATTTTTTCTTTCCTTTTTTCGTTCTATTTTTTTCGTTTTTATTTATTTTCAAAAATCCCGCCGGTTCTGCCCCCTGCGACGTGAACGCTCGCAAGGAACGGAACCCGGAAAACGGATGCCGGCAACAGAAATGACGAATGAAAACGAATCTGAATTTCTGAAAATGAAAACAATAGCGGTAGTCTCTATGACTTTTGATTTGTGGACGATTTTTCGTGGCAGCAAAGTGACTAACAAAAAAAGTTTTTGTCTTTTTATCTGTCTGCAGAAGAGAAAAAAGCGTGAGGTTCCCCACCCCCAAGTGATACCGGACCCTTTAGATCTGTTAGGAATGTTAGGAGGGACCCCCCCACCCAGTTTTAAAAAAAAGTACGTGGGGTTCCCCCCAAAATCCATACCAGGCCCTTTAGGAATTTTAAGGGGAACCCTACCCCCATAAAATGGGGGGGGAAACGTGAGGTCCCCCTAAAATTCCTACCAAACCCTTGCTCCAAGCACAGGCCTGGCAGGGCAGGAAAGGGGGGGGCGATCGAGTGACCCCCCTCCCTGCTCCTTACCAGGCCACATGCCCTCGGCATTGGGAGGGTGTCACCATGCCGATGGGGACAGGGGCCTCTTCCCCACAACCCTGACCCGGTGGTTGTGGTTGTGGGGGGTCTGCGGGCAGGGGGCTTACTTTCCTGCCCTGCCGGGCCTGTGCTCGGATCAAGGGTCTGGAAGGAATTTTAGGGGGGACCTCACGCTTTTTCCCATTTTTTGGGCATGGGGGTCCCGCTTAAAATTCCTACCAGACCTAAAGGGTCTGGTATGAATTGGGGGGGAACCCCACACTTTTTTTTTTCCTCTTCTGCAGACAAAAAAAAAAGACTTTTTTTAAAATTATAATTACAATGTCACTTTGAATGATATTTCGTTTGTGGACTAATTTTCGTCCAAATCCCGAAATAAACTGACCCAAATTATGAAAAACTAAATAACGGAAAATCCGAATGGAAACGAAACCAAACAAATTTTGTGTTAGTGCACATGTCTATAGGTAACTAATATTGCTGCTTATGTAGTTGAAAAATAAAATAAATGATCAAGCAGTCTCAGTGGGCTCACTAGGATTACATATGTACCTTGTACCCAGTGGGCAGTGTCCGTAAGGCATCTTTTGCATGAAGTTTATATGTTCTACCTATGTTTCTGTGGGTTTCCACCAACAGCACAATATCATCTTGTTAGGTTAACTGATGGCTGATCAAACCAGCCCATGTGTATGATTAGAGGGCATGCAGAATCATTAAGATCAGTTCTGGCACATTCCTACAAAGCACCATGTAATATGCTGCAGCTACAATTAGTGTAATTGTGTTTTAACTAATAATGCTGTAGGTTCCACTAAGGCAAGGTTGCTATCCATGATGTCTACAAAACAGAAAGTGCAATATCGGTGGGGAAATACCTGTCTACATTGTGGAGATTTGTCTACATGGCTGATTGGCGGTTCAGGATTGCAGTTTTATTTCTAGCATAAATGTCATGGTCTTCAGTGCTATAACTTGTAAAATGTGCAAAGCATGAAGAAAATGGAGACACCTTACCAAAAAGAAGAAAATGTGACAATAATTAGTGAGACATGTTCAGTGCCCAAAGGACAAAAAATGATATTATGGTTGCTCTTCTCATAATGAGTATATGCTCCTGGCACATCCGCCTGCAGCCTGACTATGAAGATATTTATTCTTTTAAAGTGGTTTTCCGTGTGCAGTGATGACATAGCCTTCTTTACAGGGCACCTGCAGCTTTCAGTGGGAATCCATGTGTTTACCCACAGCTTTGCTCTTGCTCTTTATGAGAAGTGAAGTAATACATCTGTGTGCACAATCCCTAGTATTACTGTCTGGGACATCCAAGTTCATTTGGTTACCTTAATTGCAAGATTTAAACCACTCTTATTCCAGGAGGTTGTTCACCTTCTTGTAGTGTGTGCTGTGAAAATACATATTACAGGGCATATTAAGCCAGCCTAGTGTGCAATTAAGTATAATAATGTTGTGTGAAGTGCTTTCTATGCAATAACAATCCCTCAACTAATTACACAAGGGATACCTACTTTTTCTTTCTCGTGATTGGCTATTTCTTTTATTTAAATGTAGTTTAAATTGTAGTCCAAGAAGAGTTTGGATAATGTTTTATTAACATCAAACAGGCTTTTCTTCACTGTCGAAGAAGTCAGAGGAAAATACAAGGTAGGTTTTCTGTATACATTTCCACATGTATTGGTGACTAACAGAAAACTTTGCTATGTCCAAAATCCTTCTAAAGCAAATGTACTACATATCGTAATGTAAAGATGTCCAGTATTAACACTAATAGGTTTTCTTTTTGAAATTATATGATACTACTTTCTTTATTAGAGTAGATTTTGGTACAGGGTTAATTGTACCCATTTTAATAAAAATCAGTTTGCCATTTGTGATGTCACATTGAAGATTTCTAAAATATTTGAAACTTATCAGAAACTGTATTTTTCAATTAACTTTTTTTTATTAGCTGTGGATAGATTAAAGAGGAACCAGATCCTTGTCTGTGACCCTGTTATGGAGATTCACCCCCTCTATTTGACCTCTGGTATTTTCTTTCACTTTCAGTGATAATGGTCACCAAATGTTGGGTTGTTACCAGAGCGGAAATAGAGGGAAATATCCCAATAGGTACACTTACTTGTATAGATTTTTTATTCTAGTGACCCGGCTGACCACCAGGGATTTCCTCTCAATTTCCATTGTGTCTATTGGAAAGGAAGTGAAAGGAAATCTCCCCAATGGGACACAGATGCCAAAAAAGAGCTGACAGGGGTTATAGCCCTCCCTCTATACAAAACTATGAAAGGTTTTGGCTTCAGTTCTGCTTTAAGCAGTTACTAGTTCAAACGAAAGATTCTTAGATTATTTAAATCTAAACTGTATTTTCTTATGCAGTCACTGCTGTGAATGATGGAGGAACTGGCATTGGTCTTATGTATGCTGGGCTCTGTTTTATCCTATCCAGTAAGTACTCGACCTTTTTCCTTATCTCGATAAAATATAATAATGTAATATTTTTAAAATAGCAATGCACAAGCTCCATCATATACTTGCTGTCACAGTGAGCACCTGTTATTAACAGCGCACCTGGTTACATTCTCTGTGCAGACTTATAAGTGTCACCAGCTCTAGTTTTTAAATGGGCTCACTTGAAGGCTAAGTTCACCTTTTGCAAAAATGAAAGAAATGCATAATTAATAATATTAAAAAAATATGCATTTCTTTACTATTTGCATTCAAGCCTGGGAAGCATTGCTATTGTGATCACTCGATCACAGCTGTAAAGCTCAGGCTTCTGCACATTCCCAGGCAGAGCTCATACGGAGTTCCAGTTAGGAGAGATAGGGAAGGACGGCTGGACTTCAAACTGCATTAACTCACCTCATACAGTGTGCAGCCATCCTCGCTCTAGATAGATGCGGGGATACGGTCAGCTCTACCTCTACCAGACGTCCTTCCCCCCATCTCACCTAACTGTCCATTAGGAAGTAAACTTGATGTATTTATGGCTCTATAGATGTATATATGTGTGTTTTTTACTTGTCTAGGTGAATCCCCAAGTAGGAGGGACACATGGCATGGCCAGTATGAGCCTTGAGGTAAATTGATATTTATTAACTGTATACTGTTTTACAAGCATACTTACAATCTAATGTCTGTGCACAATCAGCTCCCCAGAAATGTATACAACGTAATGTCTACACCATAGTAAGTGCCACAGAGAAGCTTACTATAAAGATAATGTCTATGCCACAGTCAGTGCTCCAGAGGAGCAGACAAACAAATGTCTGTGTCACAGTCAGTGCCCTAGAGGAGTTACTAACAAGCTAATGTCTATACCACAGACGGTGCTCCAGAGAACCATACTAACAATATAATATCTAGATTGTTAGCAAGCTTCTTTGAAGCACTGATAGTGGTATAATGTTAATTTGGCAGTCAGTGCTTTAGATGAGACTACTCAAGTCTAATGACTATATCAGTCTCTACCCCAGAGAAGCATTTTACAGTCTAATTTCCATATCACAGTCTCTGCTCCAGATACTGTGATTGCTTATTCTAAGGTCCATTCCACAGCCAGTGCTCCCCAGTGCTTCAAATGGGCTTACAAAGAATCTAATGTCTTTTGACGACAGTCACTGCTCCATAGGAGCCTAGTAAAAATCTAAAGTCTATACTGCAATTTCAGGAGCTTACTTGTGACCTATTTTCTATTTCACAGTCACTGCCCTAAATGAGATTTCTTACCATCCAATGTCTTGTAGCCCTGTTTGGGGGGGTTCCTAAGAGATGACTCTCTCTGATCAGCTACCGATGCCCACCTGTAGGTAACTTGAAAATCCTGAGCCTCCACTAAGTGGGAGTATGGGACTTGATATATCTTTAGGCGACAGAGTCTCCACCAAGCTGGGCCTTGTGAATTGCAGGTGGGACCCCCAGTTAAGAATTACCTTGTCCCTAGGCAGGTTCTTCTATATATGCGCGACTGGTGAGCGTTACTCCTGGCAACTACTGACTAATCACTTTAAAACTACTTAAAATATATTAATTTTGCATGTGCATGGATAAGTAATGGTAGGAGGGCAAGGGAGCTCAGGATACCCTTTTTAAATACATCAAAGCACAATCCTTTAGTCTTGTGTATAGTCCTTTACTGGCTGGACGCATAAGATCAGGGATATCCAAACTCCGGCCCTCCAGCTGTGGTGAAACTACAAATCCCATGAAGCATCTCTCTCAGGGAGTCATGTCTGTGGCTGTGTGAATCTTGCAAAGCCTCATGAGATTCGTAGTTCCACCACAGCTCGAGGGCAGCAGTTTGGACATCCCTGCATAAGATAAAGGACTGTAAAAGAAGGATTCATAACATGTAACTTTGAGCATACACTAGAACCTCAGTTGCAAGGAGCCAGTCATTGAGTCTGAAGAAGTAACACGGAACCTTCTGATTGCTATCCTGCCTTGACGCAGTCAGCTACTCACCATCTCTTTGGGGGGCAACTGCAGCTGTGCTACCTCAAGCCCTGTACTGCACTCCATCATAACAGCCAGTAACTTAGGGAAACCTCCCAGAATATGAGATCCCCACAGCTTCCCATACCCCTAGTCCCTCAGGCCTGGGGCCTGAATTGGTGAATTACAGAGACATTCTCTCAGGGTGAAGACCCTGGAGCGAAGAGACTGTGCCAGGAAGTGCCTCCAATATTTAATAGCTCCCCCATCATGCACAGCAGATCCTACTGATTGGCCAGGCATTAAACATTCTTAATGTGGAATGTTATCTCTAGCACACCCTGCTGGTGGACACCCAACACAGCATGTGACTGAGAATAATCACTACACACCAGTGACATGCAGTCCGTACCGTGCTGGGTAAGGCATTCCCCCCGTCCCCAGCCTGCCGATGCCCCACCCCCAACCCGGTCTCCCAGCTATGTGTGGAGGAGGGAGGAGACAGGGAGGAGACTCCCTATCCCTCTCTTGCTCATCACTTGTGAGGCATCGAGATTGATGTCTTCAGTGGTTTGTTTGTTTTTTGATTGGACAGCTTGGACCAATGGCATTTTGCCATTGGTCCAAACCATCCACAGAGCTTAAGCCTCTAACACAAAGTAGAGGCTGTTGCAGCTCTTGCCTCACTAGTTAGGTTACACAGCAGCGGTCTTCCCCACTGCTTGTGTATGCTAACTTAGCTGTCAAAAGCCGGATGCAGTGCCGCCTGTAATTAACAGGCAGCGCTCCGTCCATGACAGGTTACACAATGGGAAGGCTTTCCCTGCCCTGTAACCTGTTACAAGCCACTCTGAATGGAGAAAAAGCTGTCAGCTTCAGCGTTTTCCTCCATAACACTAGGTGAAGCTTTGCCTCGCCTGCCTCCCCTGGCCGCACGTCCCTGCTGCACACTTAGGCCCCATTCATATGTAGCGACATACCTTTGCAGCGGCCGGGATAGCACGACTTTCGGGGCGACGTTCCAGCGACGATCCAGCGACGGTAGCGCAACCTTCTCCGTCGGGCTCCATAGAAAAAAGCTAAATCGCGCAAAATTCGCCGAAAAAACGGTCCTGTAGAAGCGACTTGCGACCGCGACGAGCGACGCGCAACATGGAGCTAAGACAGCTCCATTGACTATCATTAGCCGGCAACTTCTCGCGATATCGCGCGGCAAAAATGCGCGATATCGCGGCGGAAATCGCGCGATAAGTCGCTACATGTGAATGGGGCCTTAGAGTATACAAGCCAGCACAGCTAAGCTGACTATTCTACACTAATATATCACAAAAATATAGGAGGAGAAATTGGGATGAATGCTAGATCCCTACATTCTATTTGACAGTCACTGCTCCATAGGAGCTTAGTAACAATAACAATGTAAAGCCTATACTTCAGTTTCTACACTGGAGGAGCTTACTACAATCTAATGTCTATACCACAGTTACTACTCCATAGGAGATAACTAGTAATATAATGTCCACATTAGAATGTAAGCTCTTCTGAGACACTGACTATAATGTCTATGCTACATCCATAGGAAATGCAGAATAGGGATGATTTCAGGTAGAAATAAAATAAAATATATATTAATTTATAA